TGTACCATCTCACTTTCCCTAGAGAGGATAACTAACTCTTGGTCGTTAAGGATAGCCTCTAAGGACAGGGGCAAAATCGTAGAAAGTCGTAGAAACGCAAAAACGGCGACCTTGAAGGAGCAAAGCCCACAAATGTTAGTTGCTCCGTCGAACCTGTGATAAGATAGCGTTTTTGATGTCATCACAAATAGATGGGATATCGACGTGCTTGACGCGCAAATCGTTAATCGATCACTTGCATCACCAACATTTACTGGATTGTTTCAACGGAATAAATTCTTCTTATTTGAATTAAGTAAAGTATGTAATTTACGTTATTTATCCTTACTGAAATAAAATTACACTTATAAACTTCCCAGCAATTTGTCAAAATCAAAATAAACAAAAATATCCAACGTGGCTAAAACAAAACAACACAAACAAACCACGGGAGGCCTTGATTGACCAACAAGTACATCGATCGAAGGCACCGTTAATTCGGAATAGTCGTCTTTTTTTCTTTGAAAGTCCTAAGTTCTATTAGAAGGAAGTGTTGGTTTTAAGCTGTTTGTTCCAATAACAACAAAAGTACACCCGCCGGTAGCAGGATTAAAAGAAATTAACATTACAAACTACAGAATCCGTGTTGATACGATTACAGAAAAACCGATGACGTAATACAACAAACAACAACCACATAAAGAGTGACGCATTTGCCTTCCTCCCCTCTCGATGTTCTAATAGAGGTTCTTATTTGCGGACAAAGTTTCTAGGCTGGACCAAACAGACAATGCACTTCTCCTCGGATGTAAGCAAAAAATCTCTTTGATTTTTGGTAAAGAGTCTACTCTACCATCCTGCCTCGTGCCTCAGGTCTACTATTAATGCAAACACCCCAAAGTAGTTATGTTTCGTTATGGAAAGTTCAATGTACAAGTAAACTAGGGTAACCGATCAATATTTGGTTATACACTAGTATTTTAACACTAATCCCGCCGGTACTTTTTTTTCTTTCACAAAGGGAGTGAAGCATTGTAGTCTATAGTAAAATACTACGAATTAAACCCCGGAAAAAAGACCAAGTGTACAAAAATAAATAACTATATAACACGGTACAACGGTAAATCCACATCGCTCGTAAATAAAAATAAACTTTATAAAATTTTATTGTAAACGAACGGACCCATACGCGATAGTAATTTAAAACCAATCTCTAACCGGGGTTAAAGATTTGGATTGAAGGATTTTGGCAATTTAATCTTCGGAACTATGACAAATTTGTCCGATTATATGTCATGCGACAAACCTCGAGGTTGTCATATTCCCCCGATGCACTCCTCCTCTCCTTGAATGACAAAAAAAAAAAAGATGTCCAAGTGCAGAGCCAGGTCTAGAGGCTGAAACTACTAAAGAAGTATTGCAGGGAGGTCCCAGTGTCTATGGGTCTTGGAGCAAATCTTCCGCCAGAGGGAGTGGGAGCACACAAGTGGGAGACGTTGATTACCCGGTCAAACCCTAAATGGATAGTTTTGTGTGTACTATTGTGTGTCGTATATTTAAGTCCAGTATGTAACTATTTCCCTTCAGATATACTCGATATCCATTTTTTCCCAGTCCACACTAAACCTCATGTTCCCCCTTGTGATCGCATGTCCGTTCCCTTTGTGTAACGATATAGGTGAAACTAAACTTTTCAAAGAGAAAAATTAGTGGGACCATAGTATCCAGGTTATCCGACCATAAAGACTATGACGGACTGTATCCCGACGAGTTAATTACAAAATTAGCGTTAATGCTAATACCGGAAACTTTGCTAATGGCTTTTGTTGCATTAGTTGTTATACTAATCAAAAAATAAATAATAATATTTTCTTTTTAAGTCAACGACAATATTGAATTTCAATCCATTTAGTTGACCAAAATTTTTGTGACAAGTGTCAAAAAAAAAAGAGTTATATTTAACTTGCCAAAAGTTTTCATTTTACCTATTAAAAGTAAAGGAATTATTAGCACTATAGTGTAATAACTGGGTTTATTAGCTCAAATACCTTACCAAACGGTATTAGAATATACCGATATACAATTCCCCCTAAAAAGTTTCCAACACTGTCGGACGTGACGGTTGTACGGAACCAACTAGAACCAAATAACCACATAAATATAAAAACTATACTAAATTTACATCTTACTTAACATATTAGAATAAAACTATTAAAACCAAAAGTCAACCTGAATGGGACTTGCATATTAGTTGTCAATTTCTCAAGTTAATAATAAAACATACAACAAAAATTCATGTTATTTTCTACCTACAAAAGTTTTCAGATTTAATAACTGGGGCTTTTATTAGCTCTAATACTAACAACCGGTATAGCTCGTCGCGGAGATGACGGGAACCTTTATACTTTTTTTTATTTTAGTGAATTAAAGTCGGGATTTTGAGACACTCGACACTGGTAACTCGCGAGGGGCTGGTTCGTTCCTACCGTCTCCGTCTTGCTAGGTTTTGATAGCCGGGCGCCCACACCCGTAAATCTCTCTTTGTAATGTGTGTCGGAGTTTAGGACGACGACGGGAAAAGTGCAACCTCGGGTCGGACGTCGTGGTCCTAGAGGGTGTGTGTGACTGGTGAGAGTTCTGTGTCGGTGGATTTATGTGGTGTGTCTGATTGTTTCTGTGTCCACTACCCCCTACGGTTAGATCTGTGCCACTACCCTCCCCTCCGTTTGTGTCCGGTGGTCCCACTTGTGTTAGCCCTATTAGTCGTC